AATCGAGAACCCTCTGTAAAAGAAAGCCAGTGGAGTGGTAGGTCAGAATTCAGAGTACAGTAGTCAGGGAGACACAGGTATCATTTTATCTAAAACTAGACTAACTTTTAGACTTTTCATTCCATGAGTGAATTGATTTTTTTCTTAAATCAGTTTGTTATGTTTCTATTTACTGCCCCCCAAGTCCTGATAAAAATAGAGATTTTTCTGAGGTCAGAAGGAAGGAGAGAGTCTACAGAAGTTATGACTGGGCTGGTTATTCACGGTGTGATGATCATGATAGTCAACACATATGGGCAGATTGTGCAATAACTGCTTCAATGTGTCATCTCATGGGATACTCATCCACACTCTGTGACTACTGTATTGTCCTCATTTTCGAGACAAATTAACATTGAGCTAGATTAAGAAATGTCTTAGGTTTGTATAACCATTGGTAGAGTTGATTCCAGAATCCCTGCTGTCTCCAAAGTGGATACTCCTAATTAGCATAGTATAGCTCCCTTCTGTTACTGAGGACTTATACAAAGGAAGTTCTTACCTGCTAGTTGTATATAACACTGACATAGCGTTGCTCCTTTAAAGAGACACCCACTACACCAGTCTCCCAGATGGCAGTTCACTCTGGAGATGTTAGAGGACCGGGTCTGAGTGACATCACAGCCACTCTAAGATGATTATGGCAATGTCTGTTTCCTTACTTTTCTTGGACTTCCAAACCAACATGAGCACATCTCATTGACATCACCCAAGCCATACATACATGCACTCTATCAGCCAGAGCCTGGGAAGGTGAATTTTTCTTTCCACCCTTTGAATCAAGAGGCTAAGTGGTCATGGGATGAGGCAACTTGACATTTTTCATTCTACAATTCTTCACATGCCATGTTTGGGTGCACATTTTAAAATTTTTGTTCATTTTTGGGCCTCACCCAGTGATGCTCAGGGCTTACTCCTGGCTCTGTGCTCAGGGACTACTCCGGAAGGTGCTCACCAACATGTAGTATTGGTGACAGAACCAGAGTTAGCCACATGCAAGGCAGTGTTTAAGTCCTATATTATCTCTCCAGTCTCTTGGTTCTGGCCAAGAGAGCTATTTTGGAGTGTATGAGAAGGAATTAAGTTATCTGGGTCATGCTGACAAAAGAAGGCAACCCCTCTCTATATAAAAAACAGATGAACAAGGAAACCTTAATTTATAATCAAATAATCCAGACATTTCCCATCCATTGTTACATAATCCTATGAGTTATGGAACAATGGAGTCTTGATTATAAACCTTGTATGTCATGGTGCTCTTACAAACATTCCAATTTGTTTGTATTCTGTTTCCAAATAAGCAGGTCATACTCAAAGTTATACAAGAATAACAAAAATTTGGCAAGTAAGTTGGGGCAGAAGACGTTTCCCAAAGTAGCCCACAATGATCTGGTTTGCCAGCATCAATTCTTGTAAAACATGCTTCTTTTTTAATTTTATTTTTTAAAATTTTTATTAGTGAAACACCATGAGGTACAACTGTAGATTTACGAACTTTCATGCTTGGCTTTCAGTTATACAATGATCGAGTACCCATCCCTCCACCAGTGCCCATTCTCTACCATCAATAATTCCAGTAACCCCCTACCCCGCCCCACTTCTGTGGCAGGGCATTCCCTTTTGCTCTCTCTCTCCTTTAGGGTGCTGTGGGTAAAATACGCTTCTTACCAATGCTGCTTTCTTCATATACGCCAACAGAATTTAAAATTACAAAAAGAAAAAAAAAAGACCACAACTTGGATACAAAGACAACTTTATTTACACATAAAAAATAAATGCTTCAGAATTTTTTTTTTCTGAAAACAGTCTTTTAACTTCAAATTTCAAAAGAAAAGATTGAAAGGGCAGTTGATAGCTTTTACACTTTGAACATAGTCACATTTAAAATATTTTTGTAAGCCGCACAAAATATACCTCTCCTGTAGTGGGGAATGCATGACCTTTTGTAGTCGCAGGCTTAAATCTTATGGTGGCACAAAAAATAAATGCAAAAAAAAAAAAAAGAATATCCCAAAATTGAAAATGTGGCTTTTATCTTACATGTTATTTTTTTTTATCTTGAATACTTCTCTGCATGTTAATACTTCTTAGGAATAACCCAAAGAAGAATATTTTTTCCTGGATAATACTTATCACTACCATTTAAAAAAAGTGATAAAAGAAAGCTCTTTGTAGATCATCTAAAAACTATCTTCTGTAATAAATTTCTGAGAAAGGGTATTAACCTCATCTTGTGTAAGAGAAAAAAGTAGCATCATATTTTAGGATCAAATTTACTCTGGAGCATGCAAGTCTGAGTGCTATGTAAATCTCTCCTTAAAATAAAATAGGTAACTAAAAGAACCAAATAATTCAAGTATTCAAGTGGCAAATATCAAATGGTTGACACATCAAACAAGATGAAAAAAAATCTTTGTAAGATGATGATCTCTCTCTCTCTCTCTCTCTCTCTCTCTCTCTCTCTCCCCTCCCTCCCGTCCCTCTCCCTCTCCCTCCCCTTTTTCCTCTCTTTGAAAGCAGGGCTTAATTTGTAATGCTTTGCTCAATACAAGAACTTAATCTACCTGGTAAAACAGTATATAATGGGTGTAAATACCATCTTTCATCTCCTATCCCCAGTGGCCTCTTCTTCCTAAAGGCATCATTTATTTACCAGTAACATGGTGACTATTTAAGGCATCTCTATCTCAGATGACAACTAAGAGTTCAACAAAATCAAGTAACTGTAGGTATGATGAACTTTTAATACTAAAGAGCATTAAAGAATGCTCCATCTTGCGAAAATTATTCTTTTTTACTTCAACTTGAAGTTTCAAAAGAGGTCAGAATTCTGTAACACTGGACCAAGAAAGGTAAGAAATTAAGAAGCTGACAACAGAAAATGCCAACACCTCAATCTTTGGACATCAGAAGGTGCCCGGATTAAAATAAGCCTTCAGCAGTGTTGGAAGAGGGGAGAGAGGAAACCAAGAACACACTCCCACTCTGCACAAATAGTTACTCTGATTCTTCTTATTATCTGTGATTCTGCATTGGGTGAAATGCTCTACGGATCCAAAAAAATGTATGGATTGGCCTTATGTGTTGTTAAAATTCTTCCCAGGTGGCATGAGAATCTAAGGTGCCAGTCAGTACTGTGGTAAAGCCTGCGGGAAGTACTAGACACGATGAGGCAACTTTTTTCCTTTTCAGTAAGGTCACAGATAGTCCAGAGTGAAATCAAAAAGTTAAATAGGTAATTCAAAAAATTCCAGTTCCCCTCAAGAGAGAATAGCAAAGCAAAAGGTGACATTTTTACTCTAAAGCATCAAATTTCCACAAAACCTGTTAGGATCTTACACCAAGGATGGAGAATAAGGAAACACTTGTTCCTTTCACTGCAATGGGCTGGGTGGTGGCAGAAGGCAATGACTATAACACAATTAAATGAAAGCAAAGGGTGGACTTAATCAATTTGTGCGCATAATTTATTACCCACTAAAGATGCCATTGTTATTGAAAAGGCAGCTATGTTTAATTCTTCTTAGATAGGAAGTTTGAAAACTTTGCTTAGAAGAATGTCTCATCTCTGGGACGGGGCGGATAGCCCAGTGGGTAGGGTGCTTGCTTGTATGCAGCCAACCTGGATTGGATCCCTGAGATCCCATATGATCCCCTGGGCCCTCCAGGAATGATCCCTGAGTGCAGAACCAGGAGTAAGCCCTGAGCACTGCTGCGTGTGGTCCAAACATACATTTTTTTGAACAGCACCACTCCTCAAGTTTACACCAATGTTACAGAAAATATCCTTGTACCATTATGTTTTGGTCTGTTTTTGTCCTTTTTTGGCCACACTTGGAGATGCTTGAGGGCTACTTCTGGTATGGTGCTTCGGGGTCACTCCAGGCAGCGCTCCTGAAACAGACACCTCACAGCACAGTAGGGGTACTGCCCTTTGAGCTAACCTCTTGGCCCCTCCACACTGCTTGGATTCGAAGAGTATTTTATATCATGATTTGAACAATTTACTCATAAAGCTTTAGTCAGTTAAGACTCAGAATTTTTCTCCGTTAAAACCTTGTGCTTTATCAAAACAAGAACAGCAAGCAGCAGACCAACTGAGGCTGATTTGTAAGAAACTGTAACTTACGAATCTGAATTTAGGATTTAACCACTTAAGACATTTTCTGTTCTACATCTTACACAAGGTAGTGCTCAAAAGCATGGCAAACTTATGATACTCTAATTAGGAAGCTTGTGAATACAGGGGCCCTATTTATATTTCTGTAGGCAGAAACTATTGTCTACTTTCTAAAAGGCTATTTATGGTTAATATAAAAACCAGTCCTTAATAAATGAAGCTAAAAACTATCAAATATAAATAGGCAAAATGAGATCACCCTATAGCAAAGTTAAAGACTTAGAGGACTTTGGCTGAGATCCCAAAAGTCTGAATCTCAGGCTTGCCACAGCTACTGGGTAACGGCTTCTCTTGTCCCTCTAGCTGCCTCCTCTAGAAACACTAACCGACATGGGAAAAACTGAAAGTTTTTCGAAGCTTAGCACACAAGCTAACACAGAGATCACTCTGTCTGACTTAAACTAAAGCCCCAAACAACACAAAAGTCCTGAGTGTTGAAGCAAGCAAACTGATGAACAGAACAGACAAAATGCCCACATTGCCTAGACAAAATGCCCACATTCCCTTTACTCAAGTAAGTGTACACTGAATGCTTGTAGTTCAGAAAGAAAAAAAAAACCAAATCAGCAATTCTGAATTCGTGAACCAACTGCTATGTCCTGGAGCAGATATTCAGGGCAAATTAATGACACTTGATGAGGACATTCAGGTTGCAGAAAGTAAAGGGCTCCTCCTGCCCAAATGTATGAGGTTATTTATGAGACACTGCAAAAACGAGGGATGGTGAGTGGGTGGGGGAGGGGAAGACGCCACAAAATCCTCAAAATTGTCTGGAAAAAAGGACCATGCTTCCTTAGAAGCTAGATAGAAAAGTCTATTCTACATAAGGAATATTGATTTCACATTTCCATAAGACTTCAATGGTCATACAGAACAAGGGGTGTTCTTATGGTTTTTGAGACGAAAGCAGTCTTTAATCTTGAGAAAGTCAAATCAGAGGCTGGAACAATAGTACAGCAGGTAGGGCACTTGCCGTGCACACAGCCGACTTGGATTTGATCCCCAGCATCTCATCAGGTCCCCCTGAGTGCAGAGCCAGGAGTAACCCTTGAGCACGCAGGGTATGGCCCTCAAACAAAACAAATAAACAAAGAAGAAGAAGAAAAAAGAAATACATATACTTAAAAAAAAAAGAAACTCAAATCATAGGAATAAGAGTATTCTTCACGTTTTCTTCATTACACAGGGAAGTCCCCCTGAAGTAAGAATAAGAAAATTCAGTAAGCTGAAAAATATTTCTAATTTTAACTGTATTTCCCCTTAACACCACAGTTTAGAATGGATATAAGTTCCATATAACTAGAAACCATACAGAGGGACAGAGCAATAGAACAGTGGGTAGGGTGTCTGCTTTGCAGGCAGCTGATCTGACTTTGATCCCTGGCATCCCAGATGATCCCTGAGCACTGCCAGGAGTGATTCTTGAGCGCAGAGTTAGGAGTAACTCCTAAGCATCACTGACTATGGCCCCAAAACTAAAAAAAAAATGTAAAAAAATAAACTGTCATCCTCTATTTAAAAACAACAACAACAACAACAAACCATACAAATAACAAGCAGCAATCTCAGCCTTTTCCTTTTGTTTTGGGATCACTCCCAGTGATGCTCAGGGCTTACTCCTGGCTCTGTGCTTAGGAATCACACCCAGTGGGGTTCAAGGGAATACACAGGATGCCAGGGATGGAACATGGGTTGGCCATGTGCAATGCAAATGCCTTACAAGCTGTAATATCTCTCCAGTCCACAATTTCACTTTTATGTTCTTCCTGGCCATCACTATGAAGCCCTATGGCCGGTATGAAGTCAGACTAGGCTCGCGCCGAATGATTTAACTTACAGAGAATCCTGCAAAGCAATGATTATCTTTCTTTCCTTTTACCCTGGTACCAAGTATGGAGCCCAGGGCCTCAGCAATCCATGGCAGACAATCTACTCCTAAGCCATATCCCGGCACAACAAATGTTTTCTCTTTTAATATCAAATACAGCATAAAATTATGCATTTTGTGTATTTTTATTAAAGGCCAATAGAAAAATCTCATTAAAAATATTTTGTAAAGCATGGCTTTTTAACCAGCCTTTAAACGATGTCATTTTGAATAAAATGAACTTTTATTTGGGGATTAAACAATTATGATGATTATTTATTTATTTATTTATTTTTATGGGCTAGAATGATGACTCAAAGGGCTAGAGCACATGGCTTCTTATGTTGGAGCCTTGGGTTCAATTCCCTGCATGACATGACACCTTGATGTGGCTGGGAACAACTCCAGACAGAGCACCACGGTGGAAGGGAGTAAGGACCAAGCACTCCGATGTGGTCAGAATTCCTTTTTTTTTTTGTCCAAGTCTCATACTCAGTGATACTAGGAGCCCCTGGGGGCACTTGTTCGGATGTTCAGTCTGGTGACAGGCCATGCTGCAGTGCTGGGGGGCTACGATGGGGGAGCCGTGGTGTTTGAGCCAAATCAGGGCAGAGCACATATGCTCATTCTTTTTCTTTTTTTTGGGTCACACCTGGCGTTGCACACGGGTTACTCCTGGCTCATGCACTCAGGAATTACTCCTGGCGGTGCGCAGGGGATCCCATATGGCATTCTGGGAATTGAACCCAGGTCGGTCTCGTGCAAGGCAAACGCCCTGTCTGGTGTGCTATCGCTCCAGCTCCACATGTGCTTGTTCTTCAGCTGTCTGTCTCAAGAACAGTTCCCACACTAGCATTCTGAATAGCAATGCCCTGTTCCATTACTAAAAAGGGGACAAAACTCTTTTTTTTTCTCCAAGAAACCAATTTTTACTCCTACAAAAATGAATGAAAAAAAATCAGTTTACATATAAAAAGATTTGCAAACTAGTAATCTACTTTATTAGGAAAGGAAATAGATTTTGTAATTACAAATATTTTGAAAAGTTCAAATTCATTGGTATGAAAATATATCTCAATGAAATAATACTTACTTATAAAAACATATTGTCTTTGCCATGTGAAAATCTGCTGTTCAGTTCTCTAGATTTCTTTATTAGAGCTTTTTTCTGAGCTTCATCAAACCGATTGACTTTGAGGTCCTTATCACGGTCAAATGGTATTCTTTCTTGGGGCTTATTTTTCTCTTCAGCAGCTTTATTCTTTAATTTTTTGTGATGAATGTCCATAAGAGATTCTGACCTTTTTAATTCCTGGAGAGAGCAAGAAAATAGAGATTAAAAATAAACAAACAAACATTACAATATAGCATGTACAGATTATTGACAGCAAATAATCAGGGAACACTGAAGTACAGAACACAAAGGAGGCCTATTTATAAGACCAGTTAAAGTTTTTCCAAATCCAAGACAGCATCTGTGGAGAAAATTATGCATCAGAGGTGAATTCAATTTCATGAAAATGAAAGTAGCCACCAATTACTTATCAGACCATTTTTTTAAAAGACAGAGGAGAAACCATATTTAAACAGTCACAGAGAAAACACAGTAGGATGTGTCAGACCAGATGAGAGAGGAAGAGCAAGAATGCTGTCACTTGGGAGCTGGTTAAAATGTCCTGGATGTGCTGTGATGCCCGGATGGGTGAGTAGGAGGGAAAGAGTGCTTGCTAGGCTGAAGCACAAGCCAGAATATAAATCAGAAACATCATGGCATAGAGGCGACAGCATCCAAGGCCTGTGAAGGGGCTGCTGGCATATGCCCATGGGGAAAGGCCCTTCACTCCCACCAGTTTTCTATCCTTCTCACTCCTTCATTGTTTCTTTCAGTTTGTACCTTTGTCCCTTGATATCTTTACGTCCCGCCTATAAGAGAGATCAATCTGTATCTGTCTCTAATGTCTTTTCTGGTCTTTTGGTCACGCCTGGAAATGCGTGGGGGATGCTCATGGTGGTACTTTGGGCACCAAACAGTGCCAGGGCCCAAGCCCAGGCAACCCATAAGCAAAGTGTATGCTCAGCCTCTGGAACAATCTCTCCAGTCTGTTCAAGTCTTTTGGGAGCAAACTGATTTACAAGTCAAGTGACTTCTTATTCTCCATTTTCCACAAACTTAAAGGATTTGAGTACTTATAAGTTATTGTTTAAAATAAGCTATCCATACATTTAGTATGGGAGGATGGTAAGGAACTTAAGTTCTAAATTCAGAAAAGTCTGGATTGCAATGATGGTTCTGCAGCTTTCAACACTGGTAATGTGGGGCAAATGGGGCAGAACTCACGGCTGCTTCTCCTGGAAGGGAGCATAAAATGAGTTCCCCATATAACCATGCCACCGGACTCCGTGCCAGGCTGTTTTCACTTGGGGCATCCCAGAGGGGGGCGGGTGAGAGCCCTTCCTGCCCCAAGGAACCCAGCCCCAGCAGCTGACCTCCACTATCCAACCGCCACCACACTCCGGGCCACTTTCTGGACTGCTTCGCGGCCAGGCAACACATCATAAGACACTTCCTACACATTTTCCATAATTACCACATCATGTTTGATGAGGTTCAGACAGTAGGCAACAAATCATAGAGAGAGAGAAAAAAAAAATATATATATATATATATGCCTCTCGGAGAGCCCGGCAAGCTACTGAGAGTATCCTGCCTGCACGGATAGAGCCTGGCAAGCTCCCAGTGGTGTATTCAATATGCCAAAAACAGTAACTATAACAGGTCTCATTTCCCTGACCCTGAAAGAGCCTCCAATCATTTGGAAAGATGAGTAAGGAGAAGCTGCTAAAATCTCAGGACAGGGAAGAACAGAGACGTTACTGGCGCCCGCTCGAGTAAATCTACGAACAACGGGATGACAGTGATACAGTGATACAGTGAATGTGAGGCAAATAATTCTCTTTCTCAACAACAAAATGATAGCAATAGTATCTAGATGTTTGGGTAAGTGAGGAGTAAAATATTCTACCAAATACCAAGAATTTATAACTGTGCTGGGTACATGAAAATTACTCAACCAAGTATTAAATTCACTGAGTACTTGCTACAACATAACCCTGATAATATCTCTAAATTAACATTTGAAAAGAATGAGAAAATAAATGGGAACAATGTGAAAAACAAACGATTTCAATTTAACAATTGAAAGATACATATATACACATTGTATTCAATTTTGGGTCACACCTAGTGGTGCTCAGTGCTCAGGGATCCTTCCTGGTAGGGCTTAGTAACCACCATATGCAGTGGCAGGGATCAAACCAGGGTTGGCAGCAAGCATGGGGCGTGCCTTAGCCCCTGTTCTGTATTTCGCGTGCAATTTTTGTTAACAGATCTCACGAGGCCTAAGGAAATAACTCAAAAATTGTTTAAAGGACAGAATGACCTCACTACGAAGTTCTCACCCACTTCTCTGCATAAACATTGTTTTTAACTCTCTCACTTATAAAAGCACAGTAACAAAAGAACACTTGTGACACCTACATTATTTTTTTTTAATTTTATTCTAATGAATCACTGAGAGATAGTTGTAGACTTACAAACATGATTATGTTTCAGTCATACAATGCCCAAGTACCCATCCCTCCACCAGTGCCCATTCCCCACCACCAATGTTCCCAGTACCCCTCCCGCCACCCCCACCCCATCCTCCCGTCCCCTGCCTCTGTGGAAGGCACATTCCCTCTTACTCTCTCTCTCCTTTTGGGTGTTATGACACCTATATTATTAAGAACATCCAAGCCCAGGAATTAGCTGGGGAAAAATAAGTCTTCATTTGAAGATTAAATTAATAATTTGCTTTTTATATTACTAATTATCAAAATTCATATGTGTATTTATAATCTGTATACAAATAAAATTTAAAATGTTGTTTAATGAACTGAAGTTACAGTTTAGTTCAGAGGGGAAAAACTACATTTAAAGATGCAGGCAAATAAAGTATTTTCAATATCAATTTATGTGCATAATCCAGTTGCAGTGAAAGATAACATCAAATATAATCATAAAAGACTTTCAAGCATAAAAGTGAATTCCATTAGGATAAGATTCTGTAGCAGGGGAGAAATGAAGCTATGAATTCAAGGAGAAAAAGAGATGAAATACTACTTCCAACTGTTAAGGAAGTGCCTTTTATATTCTTAATGGGTAATAAGAGATACTGAATTGCTATGGCATTTATGCTCCATTTGAAATAGGTAATAAAAAGGTAAATAATATGCTATAAATTACATCTTTGGTAACTTTTGAAATTTATAAGAGATTTTGGATTATCAAATGAAATATTTCTTTTAGGGGAAACCAAAAAAAATACTCGAAGACCCCTGGTTTCCACCCTTGACTAGTTGAAAAGAAATATAGATTTCTGAGTCCCAACCTAGATTTAGTGAAAAACAAACAAACAAACAACAACAACCTGTCAATTGCATATGGGGGTTGGGGGGCTGGGAGGGGGAGCAGAAACCTTGGCTTTTAAAAACCAACATTTTCTTATATAGGGAAACCACAGGATGAGGAATGCACCATGTAAGTCATTCTTTTTGGTAGTTTGGTATTAATAAAGAAAATAAAAGATGACACAAGAAGAAATGTAGTACAGGTTAATTTTAAGATGGAGAACTATAATACAGATAAGATTACATAAGAACATGTCACGGTCACGGACCTCCCGTTGTTCATCAATTTGCTTGAGCAGGCCCGGTAACGTCTCCATTGTGAGACTTGTTGTTATTGTGTTTGGCATATTGAATACGTCATGGGTAGCTTGCCAGGCTTTGCCATGCAGGTGAGATACTCTCGGTAACTTGCTGGGCTCTCTGAGAGTGGCGGAGGAATCGAACCTGGCTCGGCTGGGTCGGCTGCACGCAAGGTAAACACCCTACCGCTGTGCAATCGCTCCAACCCACATAAGAACATATAGATACCAAAAAGCTATATTGTAGAAATCTGATTTTTTTAAATTTTATTTTTTAGTTTTGGGGGCCACACCCAGCAATGCTCAGGGGTTATTCCTGGCTATGAACTCAGGAATTATTCCCGGCTGGTTTAGGGACTCTCCTCAAGAATCATTTTTGCTATACTTTAAATTTGTAGTAAGTAATAGAGAGTACTCTCCTACTTACTACTAGTAATGATAAGGGAAACTGTTTTATCTGTTGTTCAAGAAACTCTTGCCCCGAGAGAGGGAATTCTCAGCCAAACCACTTAGTGATTCAATATGAGTGCCCAAGGACGTGGTGTGGAAGGGTCCTATAGGTACAAAAGTCAGACCTGCAGTGCTTCAGGCCTTCCAGGACTACACTTGACAATTCCTGAGTAGCCAGACCCTTTCTTGATCCCCTTGGTCCAAGGGATCAAACCAGGGTCAACTACATGGGCACACATCCTAAACCCAGTACTGTCCCTTCAACCCCATGTTTGAATCCATATAAGGACGATAGCGCCATGGATAGGGCATTGCCTTGCACGCGGCTGACCAGGTTTGATTCCTCCATCCCTCTTGGAGAGCCCGATAAGCTACCGAGAGTATTCCGCCCGCATGGCAAAGCCTGGCAAGCTACCCGTGACATATTTGATATGCCCAAAACAGTAACAAGTCTCACAATTTGTTGTGAGACATTACTGGTGCCCGCTCGAGCAAATCAATGAACAACAGGATGACAGTCCTACAGTGCTGCAGTGCATAAGGTCAGGGGACCATATGGGGTACCATGGATTGAACCCAAATCAGCTGCACAGAAGGCAAATGCCCTCCCACTATACTATCGCTCTGGCCTGAATCTGATATTTTAAACACCATTTTCTACATTCTTTTCTTTCTTTGCTAATTAGTTAGTATAATTCATTAATGAAGTTTTAATGATGAAGGCAGGCATGCTATTAACAAGGACTTCTGAAGATAAAAGAAAGAGCTGGTTAACTGTGAAAAAGAAATTATAGATGTCTTATTTTTCTTAAAGCCACTATGAAAGAAAGTGACACTCAGGAGCAAAGTGCACAAAAGTAACTAAAAGCAAATGGAGAAATAAAAATGAGGAGTTTTAATACACCAATTTCCTATATTAACCTAGCAAGTAATGGTAAAGATGTAAAAAATACATGAAACCACTGGGTTACTTTAACAGTTCAAGTACTCAGACTTGTAATGATAAGGGAAACTGTTTTATCTGTTGTTCAAGGTGTACCCTGGTCTGTCTAGTTTCAAATAATGTGTATAGTGCATGACCAAACTAATGCTAAAACAATAAAATTGAAATATTTAAAGTTGTCAAGTCACTAAAATTCATATCCTGAAAGTCAATTCACACAGAGAACAATCTGCTAAATATATATATATATATATATTTTTTTTTGCTATTAGGCTTTTTGGATAATACCTGGCAATGCACAGGGGTTACTCCTAGCTTTGGACTCAAGAATTACTCCTGGCGATACTTGACGGATCATATGGGATGCTGGGAATCGAATCCAGGCCGGCCACATGCAAGGCAAACTCCCTACCTGCTGTACTATTACTGCAAGCCCTAAATAACCAATTTTTAAATTGAAGTATTTAATAGAAAAGTACACTTTTGTAATAATTTATAAAATTTAATGTGATTTATTTTGGATGGAATGGTCTGCTACTAGTTTTTGAAAATCCATACTAAAATTTGAGTTGTTTGCATTTTATCTTCATGATCCTCATTTTAACTTGGGCAGAGTCACAGTATGGACACGAGGGTGCTGATGACCATATGGGATGCCAGCGATGGAATTCGGTTTAGCTGAGAACAAGGCAAGCATCCTACCCACTGCACTCTCTCTGGTGCCTATTCTTGTCTAACGTAACTGTAGCACTGTAGCACTGTCCTTCCGTTGTTCATTGATTTGCTCGAGCAGGCACCAGTAATGTCTCCATTGTGAGACTTGTTACTGTGTTTGGCATATCGAATGTGTCACGGGTAGTTTGCCAGGCTTTGCTGTGTGGGCGAGATACTCTCAGTGGCCTGCCAGACTCTCCGAGAGAGGCAGAGGAATCGAACCCGGGTTGCCCGGGTGAGCTGCGTGCAAGGAAAACACCCTACCCACTGCCGGTCTGATCCTGGCATCACAGATGTTCCCCGAGCACCAGCAGGAATGACACCTGAGCACTGCTGAGTGTGGCTCAAATCCTTCCACCACCAATTTTTCAGTGCATCAAACTAGGAGTTATATAATGGCTTAGTCTTCAGGCTATACATACCATTATATTAAAAGCAAATCTTAGAAGCAACCAAAGTTTCCATATAAGATCAGATCCACTGTATGCCCTCCCACTATACTATCGCACTCAGGGGGAAACCACCAGTTTTCACTGAGTCTCTGAGTTAGTTCTGTTGTTTCTGTTTGTTCTGCCAGCTTGTTGGCTTCAGTTACATTTCACATTTGAGTGAAACTATCTGATAATTGATTTCACTTATTTCACTAGTGAGATTCACTCAAAATCCAGAGATAATGTATATTCGCTGAGTGTTGCAATTCAGATTCTCAGCAAGATGAGGAACATTCTACCAACCCCTAAAGTTCTCTAGGCCACCCTTCCTAGTGAATCTTTCCTCTCCAACAAACACTAAATTTTTTCCTCACCAGGTTCATTTTGTATGTGACAGTGCTTATAAACGGTATAAAATGGTATCTGTATAGTGTCACTATCACTGTCTTCCCATTGGTGAATCGATTTGCTCAAGCGGGCCCAGTAACGTCTCCATTGGAGACTGTACAGTGTAACGTATATAAGCGTAATCCTAAGAATGCATTGTGGTATGAAGCTTTTTCCATTCAACCTAATCTACTTAAACATCCATGAACATTTTTTTACAAGCCTTTTGAAGGTCAGTTGCTTGGAGGTCATTCCCAGTGGTGCACAGGGGACCACAAGACACTGGGGACTGAACCCAGCCTAAAGCATGCACTTAGCCCTCTGAGTTATCTCTCCAGCCCTAAGTTTTATAAGAAATGCCCACTTGGAAAAAGCACAATGCATTCTTCTTCAGGTATTCTTTTCATTCTCTCTTTTTGTTTTTGTTTTTGGGCCACACCAACGCTCAGGGTTTGCTCTTAACTCTGTACTCAGGAATTACTCCTGGCAGTTCTATGTGATCATATGGGATGCCAGGGATCGATTTCGATTTAGCTGCAAGCAAGGCAAGTGTCTTACCTGCTGCACTCTCTCTGGCCCCTATTCTTTTTTTAACGTAACTGAATATGGCTACACATTTTGGCTCTAAGAATGCTTTATATAATGTTATACTTCCTCTCTCTCTCTCTCTCTCTCTCTCTCTCTCTCTCTCTCTCTCTCTCTCTGAGAGCCCAGCAAGCTACTGAGAGTATCCCACCCACACGGCAGAGCCTGGCAAGCTCCCCATGGCGTACTCGATATGCCAAAAACAGTAACAATAAGTCTCACAATGGAGACGTTACTGGTACCTGCTCAAGCAAATCAATGAACAATGGAGGACAGTGCTACAGTGCTTTATTGCTTCTCATCTTCCTTCTTTCCTTCCTTCCTTCATTCCTCACTGTCTCCATCCCTCCCTCTCTCCCTCCCTTTTTCCCCTCTTCCCTCCCTCCCTCCCTCTCTCCCACTCTCCCCCCACTTTTTTTTTTTTTTTTTACAAAATCCAACAATAGAACCTGGGGCTCATAAATTGTAAGCATGCACTTTGCCACTGAATTGTATCCCTGACATATATTTCACTTTTGATATCATTAAGGTTTAGGTATTTTCTAACTCTAATGTATTTGGAGTTTTTTGTTTTGTTTTTTCCAATTTGGAGCTATACCTGGCTGTACTCAGGGTATACCCCTGGCTATGTGCCCAGAGATCACTCCTGGCAAGGACTCAGGGGACCATATGGGAACTGGGAATTGAATCTGGTTGACTGTGAGTAGGGCAAGTGCCCTACCTGCTGTATTATCTCTCTGGTCCCCAGATTTAAATCTTTCTATAAACTTCCAAATCTGCTTATGATTTATAAACAAATCAACTAAAGACCTCCAGAACTTGGCAGAACTCTTAATTTCTGATTTCTAGGAAGTAAAGTTTTGATATGTGACATTTAGTAAAATAGAAACAAAAACATTATATGAAATACATTAAAATACTCTACACTAAAGGATTTTATATAAAACATATACAACATAAATGAGTATTTTTCATGAAGATGTATAGAAAAAGACTGAGGTAAAGAGGAAGACATAAAAAAGAAAATAAAAGAAGAAAATGAGTTCATTAAAAGTCATATATTCTATTCTCTTACTTACATTGTACGAGGACACCTGCTCAGCCAATCTCTTTTCCCTTCCTGACAAGACATGCTCTTCATCCTTCTTATTAAACAACTTCCTTGCTTCTTGTGTCTCCTGAGAAATGAACCAGATAATACATTAAAGAACCATATAATTAAGAGAAAATAAAAAGAAGCACTATGACTTTTCTCATTGAGTAATGAGATGAAATTAAGCCGTACTTGTTACTTCAATCTCCTCCCATTCAAAACATATGCTGTGATTTTCCTGAAAATAAGAAAAATTACCTAACCAACTAGTTGGAAGAAATTACCCTATTTATCAAACCCAGACATGATGAAATGTTGGAGAGATAAGACTTGAAAAGAAATCCTTCATTGTCTGTTTTCAAAAGTTGTAAAATCACAGCTGAGGGGCAGAAATAATGACTTATGAAAAGGTAAGCAGATTGAAAGGGAAAAAAATAATACTATCTTTATTCACAGATGACTATATAAATTTCAAAGAATTCGTGTGTGTGTGTGTGTGTGTGTGTGTGTGTAAAATCCTGGAACTAAAAAGCAAGTACAGCAAAGCTAAAGAATACCAGTTCATGAATATAAAACAAATCAGCCACAAAGAATTGGGATTTGAAATTGGACAATGAAGAAGCCGGGGTCAAGGTGCTGCCTCCCACCACCAGAGCGCCTGCCTCTGTCCAGTCAGCGGTGTGTGATCCTTTCTGCTGTCTGAGCCCCAAAATGCCTCTCATGATTTCCAACCACAGCACAGCCAGGTGTGTATGAGCACTGCAACTAAACAGATTGTGTGGGCACTCCCGCCAGGTCTATAGGACTATAAGCCCTGGGAAGACGTGTATGAAACCCACTGCGCTGCCAAGCGAGCACTACAACCAGAATATGTGCACAGACCCTAAGTAAAGAATGTGGCCTCTGGTGAGTACAACAAAGTGATGTGTGAGCACCCCCAAGTCACTGCAACATCATTGACAGAGGGAAGGGAGAGAGGCTGCAAAAATAAGTCCTTCCCACAACAACTGAACGTCAACCCTTATTTTTATCCAGCTGCAACAGAGAAATCAGTACAACTTCACCTTATACAACTTTAATCTAAAGAATGGTTGAAAGTAACAGTGGATTCAGCAAAGTTTTTTGACTTCAAAAAACTAATACTCTGATATGAGAATTAGTAGATTTAGTCAACTTGATTTAGCTGCAGTCTGACCTTTTCACACTCACAGTCGAAGTTGGCCAGCATTTGTGCCACTTGGCTAATGTTTGGTCTTATTAGAACAATGCCATCAGCTAAGCAGAGGTGGTGTAGTTGCCGACCATCTATCTTCACTCCCATTCTTTCCCATTCCAGTCATCGCATGACGTTCTCGAGGGTGGCACTGAAGAGTTTCAGTGAAATGTATCACCCTACCCAACCCCTCTCTTGACGTCGATGATCACTTCCTTGTAGAATGGCGAGATCCTGGTGGTGAATCCGCAATACAGCTCATGAAGGATCCTGATGTATTGAGTATGAATGCCCTCTTTGGCTTGGGCTTCAGTGACTGCTTCCATCTCAACAGAATCAAAGGCCTTCTTTAAATCAATGAACGTTAGATAGAGCGGCATCTTGAACTCCCGAGAAACCTCAATAAGTTTGGTTAACGTGTGGATATGGTGGATCATGCTGAATCCTTTTCAGAACTCGGCTTGCTCGCATGGTTGTCCTTCATCTAGTGTTCTGCCAATCCTATTCAGGATGACTCGAGTGAACAGCTTGTAGATGACAGACAAAAGGCAGATCGGGCAATAGTTGTCAATGTCGTGGATGTCTCCCTTTTTGTACAGTAGAACAGTCCTGCTGGTTTTCCATTGGGACGGAACCTTGCATCCAGACAGGTAGCGTGTAAAGAGCCGAGCCAGCGTATTGATGAGTACTGACGGCAGGTTCTTCAGATGTTCAGGTCTGACCTTGTCCGGGCTGAACACTTCTTGGGTGCTGTTCACTTCTTTACTGACGAAATGGCATGTCAGATTTCGGAAGGGAGAACATTGGGAACGACATGTCTATCCTGTGGAATTTTGTATGTGGGCAGGTGGACGTGGCTATAAAAGAGATTAGAGTAGAATTCATGGATAATCTTCTCCATTGCCCTTCTGGAAGATGTGATAGATCCATCAGGACGTCGGGCAGTCATCTTGGTCTTGTAGTTGGTAAAGGACAGGCAGGCGTTGCGAATGCTTTTTCCGACTTCTGCCGCATCTGCCAGCACTGCTGCTCTTCTCTCTTCGAGGTCTTCCTTTATCGCTTCTCTGCACTGATTTGTGAGCTTGGATGTTAGCTTGTGGTTGCCTGAGGCTCGCACCCAGCCATGTTGGCGAATGAGCTCGAGAGTTTTTGAACGTTAACAGTATGGGAGACTGAGGTCGGAACTCCAGATTCCTTCTCTCACTTGAGTGAAACGTGATACTCCAAGCATAGCTCTTTCAATTCCTCTTTGGGAGACCTGAATAGCGTTCTCATCCTGTTTTCATAGGGCCCAGGTCCCTGAAGCATATGTTAATGCAGAAAGAACAGTGGAGTCGAAGAGCTGTGCCCCAAGCCAGAGGTTCTTCGTCCTCTTAGCTGTTTCTTCGATGCTCTTGAGGGCATTCCATGCTGCTCTTTTCCTCCTGCGCAACTCAGGTGCCAGGTTGTTCGTCATGTTTAGTTCTCGATCTAGGTACACATAACTGCTGCATTCAGAGATGTTCGTTCTGTTGAGAGCGAATGGAATGTCAGGAACGAGTCCATTTCTCATGAATACTGTTTTCGTGAGATTCAGCTGCAGTCTGACCTTTCCACCTTTCCACACTCACAGTTGAAGTCGGCCAGCATTTGGAAAGATGCCGTCAATGATGATATTGACGAAGAATACCATCGACTGGTTCAGCACCTCCATGATTGTGTGAGGAATGCCGAGGGAGAGAAAGCCACAAAAAGGCACCTGTCTTCAAATTTTCCTTCAAGGAATCAGGATTTTACAGCAGCACCTGGGCAGAGTGACATCTCCTGGCTCAAGTGCATGCTTTATATGCAGGGGGCTCTGCTCTGGTGCCAGGCACTGCAGTGTTACCCGAGCTGTGAGCAGCCCCTGAGCACTGCTGGCTGTGGCCCCAAAACAAAAACAATAGCCCCGTCTTAAGTCACTTTGTCCTCTATCTTTTCAAAACCAAGCCAGTATGAACAAAAAACAGTAACAAAAGAATCATGAGCAAAGAATTAAAGTGCCTCACCTTGGCCTTCCTTTCCCTGTCAGCTGGGGTGTCTGTCCAGACTGACCGGTCTCCGGATTTGTCATCAGCTTTTCTTTTAAATGTCCTGGGCCCCAAGCCAAAGTCTTTCATTTCTGGAGGAAGCTCAGTCATCCATGATTCTCTCACAAATGGTTTAGATGAATCCTTTAAGAGACATAAAAAGTTTAAAAAACAAAAAAGTAGTCTAGAAAAGCATAAAATACTAAAGCACGTGACAAAATGCTCAACATCACCAATTACTAGGAAAATAAAAATCAAAACTACAATGAGGTATCATTTGACACTGGTGATAAAGGGCTATATATATATATTTAATTTTTTTTGCTTTTTGGGTCATACCCGGCAATGCACAGGGGTTATTCCCAGCTCATACACTCAAGAATTACTCCTGGCAATGTGCGGGGGACCATACGGGATGCTGGAAATCGAACCTGGGTTGGTCATGTGCAAGGCAAATGCACTACCCGCTGTGCTATCGCTCTAGCCCCTATATGTACATTTTTAAAAAATTTAATCTTTCGTTTTATTTTGTTTTGGGGCCACACATGGCAGGGGTTATTCCTGGCAGTGTTTGGGGGACCATGTGGGATGCCAGGGATCAAACCCAGGTCAGCCACATGAAACGCACATGGCCTACCTGATCTCCTACTGCTCCAGCTCCTAAATCTTTTACATGCCTACACATAAATGTATTAATAACAATTTTTAAAATTAGCAGCTTAAATCTGATCTACTTCTCAGAGAAAAATGTATTTCAAACTTACGTCATCCCCTTTGGTGAGTTTTTCTTTCATTCTCTGGGCCCTCTTTTCAAACTCTGCCGTTACGCTATAGTTGACTGGTCCCTTTGCCGGCATTGGGCCCACGATGTCCTCCTCTTCGCTGCTATCTGTTTCCTTCTGCAACAAGACATCACCTTCAAACCAAGGGCTGCAGCTTATCGGAAATGATCCCAGGTTCCAAATTTTAGTCCAAACCAATGATCAGACACAAACCCACAAAAGGAAGAGTGTACTGCTGGCTAATCCAGCAATGACTCTTACCCCTTTACCCACCTCCCTGCAGTACACGGAGCAAAGATGACAAACCCATGCAGGCCCGAACTACTGCCCCTCTGGAGCCCTCAACTGTTTCAACTCTCTTCCTGGTAAACACAAGCGTGGCCTCACCATTCTTTGACTGTGATATTCCAGCTAATTATTAGAGGTTGGCAGGAGATGACACATTAAGAGCACGTTAATTCCTGGTAATTCAAACACTCTCTGGAATAAGAGGAGCAATTATAATTCTTGGAAGCTGTTATGATTCAGGCTAGCCCACTGAGACAAAATTCTATGTAATAGCTTAGAAATCCTGGTCAAATGGGTTCATTTGGTTCTCAAAAATATCATACTTCACCCACAGATTAGTGTTAAGAGAATGCTGTTTGTTCTTTTTTAAAATAATTTTAAAACAGGTTTTAATCCAAGATTTTATGTTACCTGTTAACAGTGAAAGGCTCAAAAACCCAAATCCATTTTTGGTATTAAGTCATTTTGTTTTCCTAGATATTTATTCTTTTACTTATTTATTTGTAGTCCATCCCTGATGGTGCTCAGGGCTTACTCCCGGCTCTGCACTTAGGGATGATGCCTGTGGGCTCAAGGAACCATATAGGTTGCCACGGATCAAACCTGGGTTGGCAATGTGCAAGGCAAGTACTTGTCTGCTCTACTATTGCTCCAGACCCATAGATATTTTTTTTGTTTTTTTTTGGGGGGGCCACATCCAGTGGTGCTCAAGACTTATTTCTGGTTCTGCTCTCAGGAATTACTCCTGTCTGGACTCAGGGGACCATGTGGGATGCCAGGGATCAAACCCGGGTGGGTCCCATGCATCCCATGCACGGTAAATATCTGTTGTGTCACCACTCTGTCCCCAGATATTTTATTATCATCTTTTAAGAAGATTTATTTTACTCAAAAATGTAACAGAAATTATGTTCTCTACAAATTTATATTTTTGGATGCAGTTAAAATTTAGTTTCAAGACTAAAGCTTACCACTCTTAGCCTATGATTGCAAGCATGTTTTTTAATTTTTCTGGACGTAGTTTTATCTTTACAATTCGAATCAGGAATTATATAACACTAAGTAGTCCATTACTGAGAGAATCCTGGGTTTTATTCATTCTCTTTGGAACAAGTCCCTTTCAGGAAACTGAGATGACCTTCTCTGATCCTTGGGGGAAAATGCTGATAATTCTAAGCTGACCACCTTCATCTCCCGACTCCTATCTAACTGGTAAGTTTAGGTTGAGCATATGATATGTTTTGGCCAAAGAAATTTTTATTTTTCTTCCTGATATGATAGGTGACAGGACATGTCATGGTTTCACTGGAGCCCTCTAGCTGCTTTATTGAAAGATGGAGTAGAGAAACAAGGGCTAGAGCAAACAGAACAAGTGAAATAGGAGAAACCTGGTGATGATTTGGGCCAGGGTGGGAGCAGAAGTGGTGGAAGTCAGGATGGCTAATTTGTTAACTCATTTCTGTGATAGCATGTGATACACTGCAGGTACTCTCTAAGTATCTGCTGAAAGAAAGAGTAAATGACTGAAATTTATGATCTTAACCAATGATCACATTTCTTTTAGGAATGACTTCAATAGGAATGCTAAATTCCCAGTGAAGAGGTAAAGGAGTCTCTTGATTTCATCAAACAACATACAAAGGACTTGCAGAAAAATGAACTGAACAGGTGGGTTAAAGTCCTAAAAACTAGATTTGGCTTTGATAAGTGTAGGTTGTTTGATCTTGAGTAAGTTCCCCAATTTCCCTGAGGTTTAGTATCTGTTAAAATATGAGAAGTATCATAGACCGAACATGACAAACATGACCGAACATGATGGCAACTTAATACCCGCATTGCAAACCATAACACCCTAAAGAAGACAGAGAGTAAATGTGGCAGGTGATATGCCTGCCACAGAGGCAGGGGGATGGAGTGGGAGTGGGTGGAACGGATACTGGGAACATTGGTGGTGGAGAATGGGCACTGGTGGAGGGATGGGTACTTGATCATTGTATGACTGAAATATAAGCATGAGAGTTTGTAAGTCTGTAATTGTACCTCAAGGTAAGTCATTAAAAAATAAAAAAAATGGGGCTGGAGCAATAGCACAGTGGGTAGGGCGTTTGCCTTGCACACAGACAACCTAGGTTCGAGTCCCAGCATCCCATATGGTCCCCGAGCACCGCCAGGAGTAATTCCTGACTGCATGAACCAGGAGTAACTCCTGTGCATCACCGGGTGTGACCCAAAAAGCAAAAAAATAAAAATAAAAATAAAAATAAAAATATAAGTAGTATCTATTTTGTAAGGTCAGGAAAAATTATATTACTCTATGGGGGGAATGCATTGCAAATTACAAAAGTACTGTACAAATATCATCTGTTGCTAAAAACCAAGCCTCTACCAATAAAATAACCTTTGCATTTGACTTCAAAATTATCTAACTTGTTGAAAAGTCATGTAGCCACCAGTGCCTTTATTCCAGACCGGCCCCAAAGCTGGCTAGGGGAGAATTCATTTCCAGGAGAAGATAATAACCATCAAGTTCCTCTGTTTTCTTTTTTCCAGATCACATCAAATGATTCCTTCAACTTTTCATCATATTCTATTTTCTAGCTTTTACCAATTCCCGTTGATGATGAAGGCTATTAATATGTTATACCATGTTTGTATATCAACTACCTTGTTATTTTTCTAGCAAAACTTCAGATCTGTGGTAAATTTTTTATTTCATTTAACCTAAGTTAAAATCTTAATCTAATCAGGGCTGAACTTCTCATTACATGTGAATCAAAAGAATGCCATTATTACTACATAAATTTCTGAGTTTGCCATATATTATCCTATAATCAAGATCCACCCAAACCTCAGAGTTGAGATGTGATGGTAACTGTTGTCCAGGATCCTCTCTGCTTTTCTCACTCTTCTGAGTAGATTTAATAAAACCAGGAGGTAGTGCAGGACCAATTATAGGCCTGAAAAATAAAATGATCTTTATCATTCTCTCTATCTTTAAAAATCAGTTTTCAAAATACAAGTTTATAAAAATAACCAAAAGTCACAGAACAAATATTGGAGATCAGGGTTTTATTTAACATGTTATTTTTGCTAAATTCTCCGGTATTTTTCACTTCCTGAAAAAGACTAATGTTTGCATTTTAACTTTCTACTTGAGTGATAGCACAGCAGGTAAGGCGTTTGCCTAGCACGCGGCCAACATGGCTGACCCGGGTTCGATTCCTCCGCCCCTCTCAGAGAGCCCGACAAGCTACCGAGAGTATCTCGCCTGCACGGCAAAGCCTGGCAAGCTACCCATGATGTACTCAATATGCCAAAAACAATAACAACAAGTCTCACAATTTGTTGTGAGATGTTTCTGGTGCCCGCTTGAGCAAACTGATGAACAACGGGAGGACAGTGCTACTTGGTAGTAAATAATCAGATACTAGCCAGCAATTCTCAGGCTTTGTGGCACTGGCCTGTACCAACCTCCTCAAAGAACAATGCTAAATAGAAATGATCGCATTTAAAATAATGAAAATCCAGAGTACAGGGCCAAGATGTGCAGAAAGAGAAGAGTCTGAGAGTGCAACAGCATTAAACACCAAGCATGCAGGATTCAACGCAGAGACACCGGCACAGCTGACCCCGTGGAGCCCCTGTGAGAAAATCTGCTGGAGCAGCCAGCCACCAACTTCAGAGCTTCCTACAGTGGAACATGAAGCCTGGCTCATTTCAGAGCTAAGGAACCAGAGCCCAGAGTCTGGGAGGGGGGAAGCAGTTTAGAAAGCCTGGCACTTTGCTCTGGTGAGTGGAAGTTGGAGAGTGGACGGAAATCTCCTCTGCCCAACCTCAGAAAGCAGTAAGGACGGCAAGAGATTCATGGCCCTCTGCGGTACCTTGGAAGCTGGCTCTGAACCATTTTATTTTATTTAAAATTTTTTTAAAATTTTATTTTATTTTTATAAAGTTGCTCACAATAGTTCATTGCAAATAATATTGAAACACCAATCCCACCACCATGCACCTTCCCAGCACCAAAAGAGGAAAGTGTGTGAAGATTGTTGTATTTCATCCTGGAGCCATTAAGCCCTTGTATAAGAGATTGTTGGAGTACACGGAGTTTAGGTTTATCGGAATCGCACTCATCACAGTGCTCCCGAATCACTCCCATTACTTTGTCTGCCTGTAACCTCTTCTATGCTCTCTTCCCCAACCAATTTGTAAGGTCTCATCCTTCTTAGACACTGAAGCTGTACTGTAAGTTAATATTGTCTTTCTCCTCTCCTTATGTCTTTTGAGCAGTTTACTTTAATGCAATGTCCTTTTGTATAGATACAGGAAGGCAATTAATTAATATGCTCCGTAACTTAGGAATTGATTGGCTTTGAATATTATTCACTCCTGGGCATCTGCCTTCTCAACTTAAGCCTCAGTTGCCCTCACTTCCTAGCACTCCAAGAGCAGGGTCCCGCCGTGGGACTGGATGGAACCAGGGCAAGCCGGTAAGTTATGTGCTACCCTGGCATCGCGATGGGCCAGGCCAAGGTGCCACGATTCTTAACTATAAGTTAAGAGGTTGATCATAGGCATTATGTCATGATCCAATAGTAACGATGAGACTAGGGCCCTGCTGCTAGGAATAGGGAAGATATCTGGCCTGAGCACTGCAGTCTGAGATCGAGATGGCCCTAGGAGAGCAATTCTATAAGCCCAAAGTATTTCTTACTGTGTCCATACAAAATGATTAATATTATGTATGCTTATATGTTGGTTGGACAAGGAGAGGAGAAACACGTCCTAGAAGCAGTTTTCCCGTGTGTCCTGACTAGCTTGGATGAGACTGCTTTCTCCCCTTCAAACTGTCTTCAGTAAATGATTCCAGTATATTGAGACAGTTTCCCCTTTCTCTCAGAGCCCTAGCTGGTCTTAGATATGCAGAACTCAGGTGGTAGCCAGGATTGATCTTTAGGATGTAGATTCACAGCTCTAGCCAGGCTGGTCTTTGGGATGCAAATCAAGGTGCTTGCAGCTTGTGAAAGTGCTTGTGAAAGGTTTCAGCTTGGCTTTGTATCTTCTTTCCGGAGGCCAGTGTTACTGGCCTTCGGATGTAAGGAAACAATGTGGATGTAAAGAAACAATGTATGGTTTGCCGCCTCAACGTTCTTTCTGTAACTCCTTTTGATGACATCACTGTAATGCGCCTTTTAGAGGGTCTATGATCTATATAAGGGGATCTTTGGGAGTCTCAAGTGCGCACGTGCTCGAGGATTCCTGAGGCCTCCATGACATACATCTCTTCCATGTAATAAACGGCTACTAAGACCAACTAGCTTGGCCTCGTTTCCTTCCTTCACCTGACCATCGCCTTCGACCTCCCTGGAGTGGGGAAACGGCAAGACCGCCGGCCTTTTATTTTTTGTGTGTTAACACAGAGATTACAAGCATGTATGTTAAATCCACACAAATGTGTGCTTGGTAGCTAGGGTATAAGAGGTCGCACTGCAGGGCTGGAGTGATAGTACAGCAGGTAGGGCGTTTGCCTTGCATGCGGCCGACCTGGGTTCTATCCCTGGCATCCCATATGGCCCTGCAAGCACTGCCAGGAGAAACCCCTGAGCATCACCACGGTGACTCAAAAAGCAACACGGTCACGGTCACGGTCCTCCCGTTGTTCATCGATTTGCTTGAGCGGGCCCAGTAACGTCTCCATCATGAGACTTGTTGTTACTGTGTTTGGCATATCGAGTACATCACGGGTAGCTTGCCAGGCTCTGCCGTGTGGGCGAGATACTCCCGGTAGCTTGCCGGGCTCTCCGAGAGGGGTGGAGGAATCGAACTCGAGTCGGGCATGTTGGCTGCATGCAAGGCAAACGCCCTACCGCTCTGCTATCGCTCCAGCCCAAAAAGCAACAAATAAAATAAAAATAAATTACCTAAAAAAAAAAAGAGGTCACTCTGTAAATGTGGCCTGTGCTCCAGGGCATTCTATGTTATTCCCTTTCAAGAATTTTATTTCATAGTCTCTGGATCTTGGCTGTTGAGATTATATGGTGCCAGAAGCAGTTTGTGGTGTGACTGCCAAGCTACTGGAAAACTGGGGAGCTGGGGGAGGAGGCCCAGTCCCATTTTGAGCGAGCTTGGAGAGCTCAGTCATGGGTCTCACATAGCTGGGTTTTTCTGCAGGTTCCCTCATAGGTGAGGCTACTAAAAAACTGGGGAGCTGGGGGGAGGAAGGCCAGTCCCTTTCCAAGCCAGCTTGGGGACCTAAGCCATGGGTCCTGCACACCTGGTTTTTCTGCAGGTTCCCTCATAGGTGAGGTTCCTCTGAGCCTGTGGAGAGCGGCCTTGAGCATGGCTGTGCGGTTGGGTTTTGGAGGTTTTCAGCTGCCGGGGTTCTGCTGCGGTGGGGAGGGAAACTCAACCTGCCCCCTCCGAATTGTCCTGGTGAAGACAGCCTGGTCTGAACCATTTTATTATTATTATTATTTTTTCCTTTGGGGTCACACCCGGCAATGCTCAGGGGTTACTCCTGGCTCTGCACTCAGAAATTACTCCTGGTAGTACTCGGGGAACCATATGGGATGCCAGGGATCTAACCCAGGTCGGCCGCATGCAAGGCAAACACCCTACCCACTGTGCTATCACTCTGGCCCACTGAACCATTTTAGAGTAGCCAGAAGCTAGAGGGAAAAGTTCTTCTACTTTTAATGTTTTAGAGGAACAAGTTCTTTTAGACAAACTATCCCCTAGCACCCTAGGCAAAAAAAAAAAAAAAAAAAAAATTGGGCCACAAACTAACCATTTCCCCTCCCCTGAGCCCACAGCTGAAGGAGTGCGGGCAGTGGATTGAAAGGAGATGCTCCATAGACACGAGAGGAAGGTGGCAGCAGACCTACCTCTGCCTGGAAGTACCCATTTGGCAGAACCCAAAGCAGGTCAAATTCAGGGTAGTAGCTCATGACTTCCCCAGGTGGGCAAGAGTTTGCAAATACAGCATAGTAGGTGCCAGCAAACACCAATACCCTAATTAATAGCAGAGCTTCAGGGTAAGAGGTGCTGTGCCACTGACCTGACAATTACAGGGAAAATGGGCACATTAGCTATTACACTTGACTGAAAACTCTTAGCAGCTTGAAGCTGCTGTAGGTCACTTACTTTCTGTGCAGTCTCTTCTCGTTTCAACACCATTTCAACTAATTCTTTAAAGAATTAAGAGACACCTCGCAATATTTAGAAAAGAACAACCTGCAGAATTTCTTCCAGATCCCATCAAGGCTGAGTGGTCTGGACACCTTGAAGGTAGGGTGGGTGAGCCCAGTGCCCACCCAAACAGAGCCCTGGCAGCCAAAAACCTCTAAACTCCACAGTCACCACCATGCTCCCAGCTGGACTCCATGGTCTGGATGAGCCTCATCCAGAAATTAATCTGTTGAAAAACTCAGGTATGCGGATGTTGTGACTTAAATTTCCAGGCTTTCATGGAGTCAGGATGGGCTACCTCCTCCCACTTCCCTGTACTTCTGGAAACCCAGCAGTCACATACACACCCTTAAGCTGCCACACAGTTAATAATTTAACTCCAGCTGTATCACCCTGTGAAAAATTCTGGACTTTGTGGAACAACGTCTCTAACTCTACAACACTGATAAACCTGGAGTAGCACACCAGATTCAACGAGAGACAATGTAGAAGGCAACAAATCTCGATTAACAAAATATAAACACAAAAGGCTTAACCTGTAACAGTATTTTAGTATTGTTATAATAATATCTTGGGCTGGAGCGATAGCACAGCGGGTAGGGCGTTCGCCTTACAAGCGGCCAACATGGCCAACCCGAGTTCGATTCCTCCGCCCCTCTCGGAGAGCCTGGCAAGCTACCGAGAGTATTCGATATGCCAGACACAGTAACAACAAAGTCTCCAATGGAGATGTTACTGGGCCCGCTCGAGCAAATCGACGATCAACGGGAGGGCCTTTACCTTACCTTTACCTTTTTATAATAATATCTTACACCAGGGCTTAATGGCTCCAGGGTGAGATACAACAATTTCACTAATTTTCTCCTAAGGAAGCATTTTTGGATCATTATTTTAGCAAATTTTTTATAACAAGCAATATAAAAAATTATTGAGGGCCTGCTATGGAGGCAGGCACAAGGGGTGGCTGGGAAAATTGGAAATAATGGTAGTGGGAAGGTGCAACAGTGGCGGGATAGGTGCTGGAATACTGATTGTCTGTAACAAATTATCATGAACAACTTTGTAAACCACAGTGTTTATATAAAGTGTAAGGGGAAAATAAAACTAAAAAAAAAGAGAGAGAGAGAAAAGCAAAGAACGGCCTGAAATAATACACATGATTACCTTGGAGGAGAATCATCCTGCTTTTTAAATCCAGGAGGAAGGGCTGGTCCAAAAAACCCTTCATCGTCATCGTTATCATCATCATCGTTGTCATCATCCTGATTTCTCTTCTGTTTTCTTGGGGGGGGAGGGAAAGAAGGCAAATAAAATACCCCATACTGTGACTTTATGCATATGCATCAAAAATCTTTTCATAGGAAAATTTCGATCTTTAAAAAACAGAATAATTTATTTTGTTTGTTTTGGTTGGAGTGCCACACCAAGCCAGTCATCAGGGGTTATTCTTCATCTGTGCTCAGGGTTCACTCCTGGGAGCGGTCAGGGGAACGTAAATGGTGACAGAGACGAAACTTGCATTGGCTGCACTCTAAGGCAGGCACCTTAACCGTACGTTATCTCTTTAGTCATGAGAAATTTTGATTTTAAAAGAAAACAATTGGGGGTATGGTGCCGCCAGCAGGTCAATCTGTACCTGTGAGGCGAGTGCATCAGCAGCCTGATGGCGCCTTCAGACTTCCAGATGCCCCAAAATTGCTGCTGTGCCTTTGGCCAGACCCCAAAAACTTGGGGCAAAGTTTACCAAAAAAGTAAACGGCCAAAAGTTAGGTATGTGGGAAGCACACCCACAAGCCACCTCCGGCTCAGCTATATAACTGGAGGTATAGCCTCTCTGGTTCCTGATTGAACTGCTTAATGGCCATGATCCCAGAGACTCAGAAACGAATCTTGAAACCTAGCAGCTTTTGACAGAAATGCGTCCAGTCCCTGCAGTACGTTACCAGTGCTGGGCTAACCCAGGTGGGAATAGGTTTCGTGCCTTGGCCTGTTCCCCCTGGTGGCCCGGTGGCTGCCATCCTCCAGAGGCCACTGGACAGTCAGGTTTGGGCCCATAGTGATGAGACACGCAGGGCCTCAAGGGATGGGTGGAGCCAGTCCTGTCCTCCCCACCCCAACGAGACCCCAAGTCATCGCCCACGAACGGCCTCTCTGGCTCCTGATCAAGCTGCTTAATGGCCATGATCCCAGAGATTCAGAAACAAATCTCAAAACCCACTGGCTTTTGGCAGAAATGCATCTGGACCCCACAGTAGGTAACTGTCGCCGGTCCACCCCAGGGGGGAAAGGGTGTTGTCACTCCGCCTGCTCCCCCTTGGCGGCTCGGTGGCCATCATCCTCTAGAGGCCACTGGACAGTCAGACTTGGGCCCACAGTGACGAAACTGTTGGATCTCATGGGATGGGGGTGGAGCCGGTCCTGTCCTCCCCGTCCCAATGAGACCCCAAGTCATCGCCCACAAACGGCCTCTGGCTCCTGACCAAGCTGCTTAACGGCCATGATCCCAGAGATTCTGAAACAAATCTTGAAACCCAGCAGCTTTTGGCAAAATGCGTCTGGACCACGCAGTAGGTTACTGTTGCTGAGCCACCCCAGGGGGGAAAGGGTGTTGTCCCTCTGCCTACTTCCCCCTGGTGGCTCGGTGGCTGTCATCCTCCAGAGGCCATTGGACAGTCAGGTTTGGGCCCACAGTGACGAGAGATTTTGGGCCTCATGGGATGGGGGTGGAGCCGGTCCTGTCCTCCCCACCCCAATGAGACCCCAAGTCATCGCCCACGAACGGCCTTTCTGGCTCCTGATCAAGCTGCGTAACAGCCATGATTCCAGAGACTCAGGAGCAAATCTTGGAACCCAGCAGGCTTTGGCAGAAATCCCTCCAGATTTAAGTGTTAAAATTTTGAAATTTCAAAATCGCACGGCCACTACTGCAGCCACACGACATCATATGTTATTCATAACCAGCAACAGAAAACAAATTGTCTACTGTTGCATTTTCAGCAGATCTGAGTGTTGGGGTAAAATCTCAAATAATAATGGTGGGCCTGGTGTCAAAATATTGAATGTGATCAAAGTAGAGAGAGAGTAATGTGGAAATCATCTGCCCCACAGGTAGGGGGAGGGTGTGGGATAGGGGTATACCGGGGTTGTTGGGGGTGGGCACTGGTGAAGGTACGGGTGTTTCATTCTATGACCGAGAATTAGACCCAGAAGCTTTGTAACTGCTCTCACGGTGATTCAATAAATAAAATTATAAAAAATGAAAAAAAATGTAAGGTGGAGTTCATGCACAATTCAGTCAGCTAATCAGTGGCTGAATAAATAGCAGTACTCCTACATAAAAAATTAAAAAAAGGAAACAATTATATAAATATTAAATTTTATTTAAACTTGCCAAACTGAAAAGAGCATTTTTAAAAGGGCATTACTATCAATCTTATACTAATCTCTGGATAGAATTATTTTTGGCCAAAATAGTATAAGCCTGGGCTGGGGAGGCAGCTCAGTGGCAGAGTATTGGCCTTTGCATGTGTGAGGCTCTGGATTCAATCACTGGTACATCCAGTCTCCCAAATAAGTAAAATAGTTTAATTACTTCGTTATAGTAATAATTCTCTCTGTAGTTTTAAAGAGTCTAACAGAGTAGTCAATGCTTCTGAACAAAAAGCTTATGACTTTAATTTCAAAAAAACATTTTTTCCCTCCTATTTTTGGCGTTTGGGCCATATCTGGTGGTGCCTGTGGATCACTCCTGATGGTACTCTAGGGAATGAACCATGCAAGGCAAGTATCTTAACCCTTGTGCTATCTCTCCAGTTTTTAAAGACAAATTTTAATTGCTCTTTCTATGGAGACGTTACTGGGCCCGCTCGAGCTCTTTCTATATAATAATAAATGTGCCCTGTATATATATACATATATATGCGTTTATGTATCTGTAGAGTGTGAAAATATATACACGGCTATTCAATTATAAACAAAGATTCCAACTTTTTATTTATAAGGATCTACGGTAAGGCTAGATTAGAATAATCAGCTTATTTTAAAGCATACATTATGTAAATAGCTTTTAAAAACAAAGTTCATGGCTAATTCATAATAGTCATTTCAATAATACCTTAAAGAGACCTGGAGAGACAGTCTCGGGCTGAGGGCATATGCCTTACATGCAGCTGATGCTGATTCAATCCCTGAGACCATGGTGGGTGCATCCCTGGAGACCCCAATATACCTGGTACAGAGGACCCACGCAGCACTGCATCGTGGGGACCTCACCCTGAATCATTCGTTTGCTGGCTGAGATTTTAGGGATCGGTCCTAGAGCACAGTTTGGGAGGCCCTACCAATCCCTGCTCACAGGAAATAATACCTTAAGGGAAAAGCCTTTATAAAGAATGCTGGAAATTCTAGGTATCTCCATAGCTATGTGGGTGAAGAATAGATGTCTATGTAAAAGGTAAGGAACTCAGCCTGGGTATGATCCCCGGCACCCATGGTCTCCTGAGCACTTTTAGAAGTGAGTTCTCAAGCACCACACTGGGAGCAGTCCCTGAGCACTGCCAAGTGTGGCTTCAAAACAAAACAAAAAGATACAGGAAGTGCTATCTGAAATGATTTCTCCCAGTACTGTACAAACGCAAAAAGGATACCCCCTGACAAGTGATCAGGTCCAGCCAGTGTGTTCTGAATTTGAAACGTGGTTCACTGTTTGAAAGACTGACCTGGGAGTTGGGCCACTGTCATCTTCTTCGGATTCTTGATTTCCTTCTTCAGATAGAGAGCTGCTGTCTTCATCACTGTCTGATGACTCGGAACTACTCCTTTTGTAATTAGGGGGAAGGGCTGGTCCTGCAACTAAAGAATTTTTTGAACTGTTGTAATTAGCCACCACTGTTTCAATGAAGCCCCAAGTCTGCATTTTATGCTTTCTTTACTGAAATCCACAGCACTGGTTGTCTATCATTATTATGGACTTTATATTTCGTCAGGGTGGTGGTGGTAGTGGAGGAGGGAGACTCTGCACTTGCTGCTGTTCTTGTACACTTGCTTACGATCTACTGAGGGCTGAACAACTGGCTGCAGTATACTGAGGACTGCACTCAGTGATGTGGTGGCAGTGCAGGGGATCTGCTTGTGGCCTCTTACATGACGCAGGTGCTCTACCATTGAGCTATAGCTCCAGCCCTTACTATGGACTTTAATATCACTTAATATCAGTCCTGTTGCATGAACACGGGTTTTGTCTTTATAACTTCAGGTAGGCAGGAACAATGTCTTACCCAGGATGAAAGTAACAAAGACTTTAATTAATAGTTTTAACAATAACATACAATTTCCCTGACATCATGCAAATTTTACACTGGTTGCAATTTTGGTTTTGCAACTGCTAAAACTTTTTTTTTCTTTCTTTTTTTGGGCTATTCCTAGCAGTGCTTAGGGCTTACTCTGACTATATGCTCAGGGATAACTCCTGGCTGGCCTGGGGAACCATATAGAGTGCTGGGGATTGAACCCAGGTTGGCTGTGTGTAAGGAAAGTGACTTACTGTTGTACTATATCGCTCTGGCCTCTAAAACAGACCCCCCCCCCCTTATAGGCAGAATTTATCTAAGTCAACCAAACAACAAATTCATCACCCCACGCTCAAAGATTTCTAATTTCATATGTCAAAAAATTTTAAAAGTCTATTCTGGTTTCTAAGAGTCACCACTTAATGGTATCTTCATAGTTTTCTTTTTAAGCTGGAACAAAATGAGTCAGTCTAGGTTATACTGCTTACTAATAGAGTTACATACAGGTGAATATGGCCACAATGGAATTGTTGAAAGGGGCCAGGGTTTTCTGGGTCATTAACCACGGTGACTTGTGCTCATTTTATATTTCAGCAAGATTACACATTATTGCCTGATCTCATGTCACAGATACAATTATCTATGTTGATAATGAGCACAGATGTTCAACTCTGCTGCCACAGTTCCCAAGCATGGAGGTTCAAACTGTCAAAATATTAAAAATAAATAAGTAAAAGAATTCTGAGGGACCTGGGGATAGCTTAGTGGCAACGCACTGAAGCTTGTAAAACTAATCTTTTATGCTATTAGGGAAACGCTTATTCTTTAGCTGAATGAAGATCATAGGGGTAGGTTGTGAGTAGAAGATGCCAACAAAGGGTATTTCCTTGGTGTGATATAGTGACTCTCAAGATACTGGTACTGACAAACTTCTCTTAAAAGTCCAACTAGAAGAACGATGAGATAAAACATATCCCAACATTTTTTTTTTTTGCCAAGTATTTAAGACCATCCATCTAGGAGGTTATTATAGGAATGAGTTTATGTGTTTTTTTCTTTTATAAGTTGTGCATGAGATACTGTGCTTACTGAAGAGGCAGTCATTCACCAAAATCCTACCAAGAATCTTTACTTGCTAGGCAAACTGGAGCAAAACTTGGTCAATGCAGAGAAGAAACACACAAATACACAGTGTTAAGTGCTGAGGGTGAGCAAATGAACAAAAGGGAAAAAAAAGAGAGAATGGACAGAGAAAGGAGCATGTGAAGAAAATGCTGGTAGATTATGAAAGCTATCATAATTGCCCAGAAGCATTGGTGAGTCCCCCCAACCTCTTGAACAATACCGGGGAGCTTGTGACAATAAAATAAAATGCGGGGGATAGAAAGATGGTACATCATATAGGGCATTTGTCTTGTACATGGTCGACTCAGGTTTGATCACCAGCACCCCAGAGAGTCCCCCATGCCCCACTAGGAGAGATCCATGAGCACAGAGTCATGTGTAAGCTCTCAGCACCACCAGATGTCATCCCCAAACAGAAACAAAACAAAGAACAAAATCAAATTATGGGGCTGGAGAGACAGTATGATGAGCAGGGTGCTTTCCTTGCAAGCAGCTAAACAGGGTTTGGTTTCTGGTACCCCATATGATCCTCTCTCATCACCCTCTACTCCATGAATCCAACCAGGAGTGATCCCTGAAGTGGTAAACTGAAAACAACACACTCACAGAATCTCAACTTAAAAAAAAAATAATAACAAGAAAAGAAATCTACTTAGAAGATGGACATTTTAACTAGCAAAGAAGGGAAAAAAATCTTCAGAAGTGGGAGTGTTAATTACACTTTCAGTTTCACATTTTTCCAACTTGTATCACTTCCAGTCTACAAAGTAACACAAACATTAAAGCATAACAATGCTTGAAGTGCTTGGAAAGGTCTTCATGAAGTGACATTTTAGCTGGGTTTGGGAGAATGAGGTACAGATTTATTAAGAAGCAGCAGCTATGAGGCTGGGAGGGCCCTGTTCTGGGGTGTATGTGTTAAATGCAAAGACAGATGAGAAGTTAGGAAGGCAAAGTGGGAATTTAAAACAAAGTATCTTGGGCAAGAGCTAAGGATACTGTAGACCTGAAGGCAAGATGGCACACGGATTAAGAAGAGCATTCTAAATCGGACTCAATCACCTCCTAGCTGTGTGATCTGGGTAACAACCTAGGTACCAGAGTCCAAGTTTGTCGAATGGAAATAATAATCGTTCTTATTTCAATCTAATATAAATATTAGGGTCCTTCAACCTTTTTATATCTGTCCTGCATTTACCAGTCCACAGATCAGCAGTTATAATCAAGGCGGCGGATCCGTGGTTTTCCATCTAGCTACACCCGCTGCTGACCCACACTGGTCCGTGGGTCGAGGGGGTTGAAGACCACCGTCTTACACAGTTGCTAGAATTTAGTAACTGAATGCCTATGGATCGGACCGATCGTTGACCATAACGTCCAACTGAGAATACATCTTTATAGGATAACCAAGCCCAAACTCATTGACGAGTCCCCCACCCCCACACTCTGGTCCCCTTCCTACAGGTACATTCGCAAAGGGAACTGGCTCGGGCCAGGCCACCCGGGCCTGGGCCCTTTATGGTAAGCGAGCAGGGCAGGGCCAGAAAAGGAGTGGGCGGGTCTAGCGGTCGGCAGAGACGCCGCGGCTCACCCGGGCTGGGGTCCCGCTCTTCGTCCTCCGCTGTCCCGTGGGTCTTGAAGCCGGGGGGTAGAGCCGGCCCGATCAGATCCCTCGCCATCTGCGGCGCTAGACAACGGTCACGTATATTAAAAGCCGATAAAAGCCAAGTCTAAGCAACCTCAAAGGAACCACCGCAAAGGCTGGGAGTTTTGTTCCGGCGCCAACTGATGACGCACCAGCCTGTGATTGGCCGAGCCGCCTGACACCAGAGCGGAAGTGACGCCACTAGTGTGTTCCGCAGTCGCACGCTGCCTTCCCTTGCTGGCGGGAGGCATGGGTGAGTCCGCTGGGGGTTTTGTGACTTCCACGCCGTGGTTTCCCGCTCCGGAGATGACCCCTACGTTGAGACCTCGAAATGACACGGCGCCACTGACGGGCAATTGTATGTTCTGGTCCTTGAAGCCACCGCCGCCGCCTTCGTCGTCGCCTTCGGCTGCCGGCTCAGCTTCCAAGGCGCTGCCCTCCTCGGAGGCCCGTCTTCTCCCAGAGGCGCCGCCACCCTTCGATACCCAGCTTCTTGCCGGGGCACAGCCCCCCTTTGACGCCAAGTCCCCCTTGGACACTCAGCCTCAACTCAGTGGCCAGCCACCCTGGAATTTCCAGGCTTCGACCTCATGGTACTGGGGACCCTCTCCTGGTATTTACCCGCAGCATCCGAAGTCGCACAGTCCTCGGGGTAGGTTGTTTGTACTTTTCGGTGTTGCTCCCCCCCCCCCCCCCATTTCGCCTTTCTTTTTTGTCTAATTTTACTCGTGGAACCAGGTCATGGATGTCTCGTAATTTGATCAGCAGATCGGTTTTCCTTGCCTGAGTCTGGGAACATAACGGAGAATGCACCAAAGTCTTCACTTTCGCCTGGGGCTTGACATGTGGTGTAGGAAGATCGTCAGTCAGCAAAAGTGTTGGTTCTTAGAGCAGTGACCGGTGTGGAAAGAGAGAGAGGCAAAGAACAATGAGAGTGCAGTTTCCAAATGTCCATGTCAGTCTTAAGCCCAAAGCAAACGATTTGAGCCTGGCGTGGGAATCAGGGGAGTGGATACGTCTTGGGTAATAGCGATACAGGCAAATGCAAAGACCTTCTGGCCGAAGCTCTCGGGCGGAATGGGATCCCATGATTACAGAGCACTGAGCCTGGAGCAGAATTGTAGAAGTTTGTGGGAAAGACGGGAGACCTGCTGGAGTCTGGGAGATCGTGGGATTTTGACTTTGCTGTGATAGAGGCAGTGCAGGAGAATGCCCAGATTTGATTTATGGAATTAAATGGAATAATTTGGTACCGTGGGAATTAACCAGAAGGAAGGTCTGTTAGGAATTGTGTTACAGTTACAGGTGAGAGAGATGGGAGACTTAGACCAGGGTGGAGGGCAGGAGGTGATGAGTTTCTGGGTAAGTTGTGGAGTTTGGTGGGTATAACCGGATTTGCAAGTTTCTGTTTTGCTGATGATAATTGGTGTTGAAAGAGCTTTATTAGGGATTTTATAGCTTACATTTCTAATGCTTGTAAGAACAAGTAGTATAATCAGATTAACTTTTTCATTCCTTTACCTAGATGCCTAGGGCATCATGGGCACATAATCTTAGCAGTAAGTATTCATTTAACAAATGTCTATTTAGTAGTCATTTATCTTTGTTAATATGTTTGAATTACTAATCGTCCCTAAGTAATTTACCATTGTCTGCACTCAAATACTGTTATATGTCTTAGCAAATAAGAATTCAATTGTATAATTGTAAATGTTGGTGCAACTCATTTTGTTTTTCAGTTAATCATTCTAATTTTCAAAAAAATTATGCAGCACAGTCAACTGACTACAACTTCCCAGCAAATAGAAAACAGAAAAAAAAGGTATGTTTAAAGCTTTTTTGTTTGGTTTTGTTTGGTTTATCTCGGAGCCACACCTTTTGGTGCTCGGGGCTTATTCCTCGCTCTGTGCTCACTCCTGGCATGCTTGGGAGACCACTGTTATGGTGTCAGGAATCGAACCTGAGTCAGCTCTATCCAAGGCAAATGCCTTACACACTATGTAACTCTCCAGCTCCTAAAGTTATTTTTGAGTGTGGCATTTTGATTTTATGTCATCATTCCTTATGTAGAGTTCAGTCATAAGTAAATCAGTGCTGGGCTGGAGAGTTAGTACAGCGGGTAGGGCACTTACCTTGCACATAGCAAACCTGGGTCCGATACCTGGCATTCCGTGTGGTCCCCTGATCACCGTCAGGAGTGATTCTTGAGTGCAGAGCCAGTAGTTAACCCTGAGCGCCATCAGATGTGGACCCAAAACAAACGTGATTCAGTGCTTGATGTTCATTTACTGCCACAGAAGAACCTTGCAGAATAGGTTACTTAAGGGTCTTACCTATACAACAGAAACACTTCAGATATCATCTTTTTTGAGAGATAGAGAAATTGTAGAAAAAGAAACTAACTCCATTTATTATAGTAGCAGAAGTAAATATATTAATTATTGATACACGTCAGTGCTCTCTTAAGTCTTTCAGAGTTAAAAAAGTATGTGTGGTCAGGGAAAATGGGCTAAGTGGTTGGAATCAACCACAAGTTTGTGTGTGGTAGAGAGTAGGTAAGAGAGAAGGGACCTGTTGACAATAATAGCTGGAAATGATCACACTGGACAAGAACTGAGTGTTAAAAGTAGGTGAAGGGATTATACCTGGTAACTTTTCAGTGGGCTGGAGTTATAGCACAGTGTTTGCCTTTCACGAGGCTGGGTTGGCCAACCTGGGTTTGATTCCTCTGCCCCTCTCGGAGAGCCCGGCAAGCTACCGAGAGTATCTCGCCTGCATAGCAAAGCCTGGCACGCTACCTGTGACATGTTCGATGATATGCCAAACACTGTAACAAGTCTCACAATGGAGACATTACTGAACCTACTCAAGCAAATCGATGAACAACGGGAGGATAGGACAGTGACAACTTTTTAGTATCAGTATTGCAAACTACAGTGCCCAAAAGTGTGTGTGGGGGGCAGGGGGAGGGAGAGAAGAAAAGGGGGGAAGAAAAATAGAGAAACAGAGTGAGAATACTTTGTAAAGATCTGTCAGTGATTCAATAAAAAATCTTTTAAAAAAAGATACAGGCTTTGAAAAAATTGTCAGTGCAAAAAAATAGTGTGTTTCTGTGTGTGTGTGTGTGTGTGTGTGTGTGTGTTTGTGTGTGTGTGAAAATAACTGACAATTTATGAAAAGCCTTCCTTGATCTTTCCATTTTAAGATTTGTTAATATCATTCATTTAGAATGAGGTGAGGAATGTTTACAGTATAAAATTTGTATCTTTGATTTTGGCATGAAAACTCTGTAGCTAATATATTGAGCAGTGGAATATAATAACATCAGACAATCTGAGATCATTTCCTCCACAGTGTCTTTTTTTTTTGCTTTATATTTCAGCATAAAGTTGCAAATTTAGATTAAAAATAGTTAATTTTGATAATAGGCTTTTTAAGGTCCTTATTAGCTTACTAGTGTAAACTTCCACTTGGCAGTTTATGTTAGTTCTGTTCAGATGTTTGGTGCCTGGGTTAAAGCTTCACATAGGTGAGGCATGCCTCTACTGCTGAGCCAAATCACTGGTCACTCAGATTGAACTTTTATCACATCTCTTTTCCTAATTTCTTGCTAAAATAAAAGAAAAAAAATTGTTCTTGCAGTAGAAGTGTATTCACAAGTTTCTCTTCTATATAAAGGTATTACAAAAGGTCAGAAGTATATGTTGCTAGAAGGATAGTTCTCTCTTTGTTATTAAAGGTTTTTCACCATAAGCCTAATGCCTGTTGTTTTTGTTTGCAGAGAAGGAAGGAACCAGTTTTTCACTATTTTTGTGATACCTGTGATCGTGGTTTTAAAAATCAAGAAAAGTATGATCAGCACATGTCTGAACACACAAAAGTATGTTTTTTTTTGGTTGTTTCAGTATTTATTTGCTAATGCAAGAATGCTTATGTAATTTAGAAATTCTCAAATTTATTTTCTGAGAAGTGTTCAGTTTTCACAGAAATATTGCTTGATGACTTGACAGATTGAAATGGTGGCTCTCTGGTTTGAAGTTTGAGGGTGGCAAGCTCTATGCTTTGGTTGCTAATCTGGGGTCAGGCCACTGTGCCATGTGTGTGCCCCCTTAGCTTCCTAAGGATTGCTTCTCCCTGCTGCTTCCTGTGCTTTTCTCTACAAGGTTGCCTTGATTATTTAAATACCAGACTGGAATTTGACATGACATTCACCCTCAGAAGATTAATAGAACCTTAGATATGTGGTATAAAAAGAAGCCAGAATATTTTTTTTGTTTGAGGTGGGGACATCTGGTGGTGCTCAGGACTTAACTTTTGACTCACTGCTTGGGGTATCATATGTGGTCCTGGGGATTGAATCAGGGTTGGCTGCGTGTAATGCAGGCACCTTATCTCCATGCCAAACCAGAATGTTCTTTTTATTTACTATTGAATCACTGTGAGCTACGCTTACAAAGCATTCATGTTTGAGTGTCAGTCATACAATGACCCATCCCTCCACCTGTGTACATTTTCCATCACCGAGGTCCACAGTATCCCTCTCCCGCTCCCACTCTTACCTCTATGGCAGACAATTTCCCTCTTACTATCTCTCTAGTTATGGGCATTATGATTTGCAATACAGATACTGAGAGGCCATCAAGTTCGGTCCTTTAGCTGCTTTCAGCACACATCTCCCATCCTAAGTGATCCCTCCAACCATCATTGACTTAGTGATCCCTTCTCTATTCCAGCTGCCTTGTCCCTTAGCTCATGAGGCAGGCTTCCAACCGTGGAACAATCTTCCTGGCCCTTGTCTCTACTGTCCTTGGGTGCTAGTCTATTATGATATTTTATATTCCACAAATGAGTGCAGTCATTCTTTGTCCCTCTGTTTCTGACTCATTTCACTTAACAGGATACGTTCCACGTTGATCCACCTATATGCAAATTTCATGACTTCATCTTTTCTAATAGCTGCATAGTATTCCATTGTGTTGGAATTCCATTGGGTTGTTTCCAGATTCTAGTTATTGTGAACAGTGCTGCAATGAACATACAGGTGCAGATGTCATTTCTGCTATGCTTTTTTGCACCCTTGGGATATATTCCCAGAAGTCAAACCAGAATGTTCTTAAATTGAAAAGCATTTAATGAAACATTCCTTAGCTTTATAGGAGCTGACATTTAAGTGACGTTAAGTGGCGAAGTAAATATATGTGTATTGAGATTGTCATTCCCCTGTTTTAGAATGTTTCACTTTTGACATCAGTGTGTAGTGATCACACCCATACCACATGAATGAAATAGCTATGAAACATAATCAGAAAATGTCTGTATTTGTTCTAAGAGTGAATTTTAGTATAGAGATGTTACAATTTTCTCATTACAAAAAACTTTTACAGTGCCCTGAAGTTGATTGCTCTTTTAGTGCTCACGAGAAGATTGTCCAGTTTCATTGGAAAAATGTAAGTTTGTGTTTTTTTTATTGATACATCATGCTTTTATTTCATTAATCTGTTACACACAGTATTAGTTTAAATGTGCTAATAATGTTTATGAGATGTTTGTACATTTTTTTAAACATTTCATTTAGTTTGTCCTTAAGGTCACTATATGAAGTTGATAAATATCAAATTTGTTTAACAGATAAAAGAAATTATAAATTATTTGCATCTGACATTAGAACTGAGTCTTGCCCTTGAGTTTCTTGAGTCTAAGTTCTGTGTAATTTTATTACGCTGTGCTACTTTAAATCATGTTCATTTGCTGCTTTAGCTTCTGCCTTCAACTTTGATTGGAAAATCATTCATTTGGTTATTTAAAATCCAATACAAAAATTACTGGTATCTAATCTGCCATCAGATCTGTTACTTTTTTTTCCTAATCGATAGCACTTACCTAAATAACTAAAAAATTAACCCTTTTTTCCTTTACAAGTAATAGTAAGACTACATAGTTTTTAGTTTTAAATGATGTCTGAATTTAAATGATGTCTGAAATGATAATCAAGAAACCTTGATTATCTTCATAATGCTTGAGGTTTAGTCTAAAGCACATTATATGCTTCCTGATATGCAGCACACTTTCCTTGTAGATGCACGCTCCTGGGATGAAGAAGATCAAGTTAGACACTCCCGAGGAGATTGCAAGGTGGAGGGAAGAAAGAAGAAAGTGAGTAAAAAGTGAAGTAGTAAAATAGCTTTCTTATTTATTTATTAATTACCTTTTTTTAGTTTACTTGGCCCATACCCAGCAGTGCTCAGGGCTTACTCGTGGCTCTGTACTCAGGTATTCCTCCTGCAGTGCTTGGGGAGCCACACACAGTGCCGGGGATCGAACCAGGACCCGCGTTGACCACTGCAAGGGAAGCACCTTAACCCCAGTACTACCCACTACAGCCTCTTTTTTTTTTCTTGTAACTTTAGGACTGAGTGCTTCAAAAATAGTACTGTTACAATCATAATGAATACTTTTTAAAAGAATATTTGATCTTTCATAATGTTTCAATACTCAAAATGACTAATTTTAATTATTTTCTTCAGCACAGCGCCCTGAATTTAGTAGGTAGTACAAAAATATTTGACTGAATTAAGGTTTCATGGTGTAAAATGGAAACTCATCTTAGCATTGATCAAGAGGCTATAACCAAGTACAAGGTCAAATTTGAAAGTGAAGGAGTTGGGGCCATAAAGAGGTTTTACTTGAATTTTGTACTGTGTGTGAATTTCCTGCCTCTAGGTATCTTCTATACAGGTTCAGATTTTTCTCCTTACAATTCTACTCTCTGAGTATTGGATTTTTTTTTCTGTTTCTCTCTTTTTTTCCCCCTCTCTCTTCTTCCCCCTCTTGCCCCTCCCCCATTAAATCTTTTTATTTATTTATTATTTTACACAGAGGAGTAATCAAATGAGAAAAGTTGAGATTACTTCAGGTCATGTTACTAAAGAGCTGGTATTGAAGACTAGCCAGCAGCATGGAGTGGAATGGGCTAACTGCTAAGTCAGTTAAAAAGCAACTAAGAAATTAACTGAATATACTTAGTTGTTGACTATTTCAGGCAATAGGAAAGGTCTGAAACGAATTCGTAATTTGCCAACTTTGGTTCTTTTCATCTCTAGCCAGCGTGTACGTTAAATGTTACATAAGCTCCTGAGCAATTGACATCACTGTAAGTGAGAGATAGCCCGCTTTAGCATTTCTGTTCTGCTGTGTCTGTGGCTGTTTCTAGCACATCTAGCACACTGCCCTTTCTAGCACATCAAAAAGAACTCTTCTAATCGGGAACTGGGTTCTCCAGCTTTATCTGGAATTCCATGCTGAATTCAGTCCGAAGTGGGAAAAATAAGGGGAGACATGGATTAGTGTCTGAGTAGACATGTCCCCACAGGCATGATGGACGTGTTCAAGGAACTTGAGTTCTAAGAACTGAGAAGATGGGGCCGGAGCCATAGCACAGCGGGTAGGGCATTTGCTTTGCACATGGCCAACCCGGGTTTGATCCCCGGCATTCCATATGATCGCCCAAGCACTGCCAGGAGTAATTCTTGAGTGCAAAGCCAGGAGGAATCCCTGAGCATTGCTGGGTGTAACCCAAAAAGCAAAAAAAAAAAAAAAAAAAGAACTGAGGAGATGATAGGAGCTTTCTCAAAAGTTCAACTTTACAATCATTCAGTTACCAAACAGTGTTCATTTATATCTTCTAAATGTCTAGTATCAACTTAAGTTACGTTCCCACTACTGCCATCACTTTCTTTTACAGGGGTGGACCTTCTGGGTAATGCTCAGGGGCGACTCCTGGAGGTGCTTGAGGAACCCTATCAGTGCCAGGGGTTTGAACTGGGGTTGGCAGGATGAAATGCCTTAGGCCCTCTACACCCACTACAATTCCCACTGCCATCTTTAAAAAGCTCCTGGCAGGCTTGGTGAACTGTATGGGGTACCGGGGATCAAACCCAGTTGGATACATGCAAGGCAAACACCCTACCCACTTGTACTATTGCTCTGGCCCCGAAGGTGGTTCTTCTCAAATCGTGAAAGCATGGATGTGGAGGACACAGCCACAGAAAAAGGTAGAGTGAAGAGAGAACAAAAGCTAACAGTGGAGCCAGAGACTTTGAAGAAAGCTAATATATACATACATAGAAGCTGGTGAAGGAGAATTTATGGAGGATTGGTGAGCAGTATAGATTGCTTTAGGCAGGTCAAATAAAACAGGAACAGATAGTGACTGCTGGGTTTTATATCATCTGGGCCTTCCGTGGTACAGGTCCCAGATGAATCTTTCTCTGCACTTTTCCTGTGAGTTCCTGCCATCTGTCTGCACAGTTCTCAGCTCCCACACTCCAGTGATCCTAATGAGACACATTGCGGTTATCTTTGCCACTTGCTCTAGTATGTTAGATACACCAGCTGAAGTGTGTGTGCTTTGAATTTCCTTGACTCTTGAGACACATAGTGTGAATGGTTTATTCAGTGTTTTTCACGTTCACATTTCCAGTGACCTTCATTCAGCTCAGTGCAGTGGGAACCATTTCTTTTCATACTCCGGGTCTTCTGGACTTTGTGTCCCAGTTCTTTTTTCTCCTTTGTGTACATCAGAACTCTCGTTTTTTATTTTTGAGCCACACCCTGTGGTGCTTAGGGCATACTCCTGGCTCTGCATTCAGGGATTACTCCTGGCAGACTCGGGGACCATATAGAAGCTGGGGATCAAACCTGGTTGACTGCAGTCAAGGCATATGCCCTACCTGCTGTATACTATTGCTCTGGCCCCATACCACAACTTTTTTTTTTTAATCCATTTATGTCATTGGTTATCTGGTTGATTCCATATCCTGGCTATTACCCCAGAAATCTTAAATTTGGTGGGCTTATTCCACTTTAATCATAACTTGTATCTCATCAAGTTTTCTCACGGTCTCTTCTACCCAGTATTGAACTAGTTGAGATCTCCAGTCGCTGAATTCCACTACCTTATTTTTCTGTCATTCCCCTTATCTTGTCACTGTCCTACCCAGTTCACATCATGTCAGCCCCTTTTAATAGCTTGACTCCTTTATTCCTTCAATCTTCGTTGCATCCATCTGGCAAAATCATCTCCAACTCAATTACTACGTGCTCTTCGGGAAGCCACATAGTGGAAATGTACCCTGCAAGGGAATAGTAGTACTGTCCAGTTAACTGACTTGATTTTTTTGTTGTTGTTCTTCTTCTGTTGTGCAGTATTTAGTGCTTGATACACATTTCTCTTGGGTTGGTAGATGACTATGTAGAATAAAATCTACAACTAAATTTTCAACTGGTTTTAATTTACCAAGTAGAAATGCCAGTGAAAACAGTACCTTAGAACTGGTGATCAGGATTCTGTAGGTGGCTTACCATATCTCTTCTGAATTTTCCCCCATAACTTGCTTATAGGAGCTTTTGTCTTTTATAGTTTTATGGTAGATCATATCTAAACAAGATTTTTGGGCATTCAGCTTCGGTTTTTAAAACTTCTTTAAATTTTCTTGTCATTGAAGTTCTGCTCATTGCTTTAATCCAACTTAAAATAATACTTTGAGGATATTTTTCATTATCTGTTTATTTGTGGGAGGATATTACTTTGCCCTGTTTTAATCTTCCCTGCTTTTTTTTTAAGCATAGATGTACCTCATTATGGAAGATTATGTTGTTTTTGCATTCATGTCTTTTTAAAATTTCAAGCTTCACAAACAAAAGAATGATCTTCATAAGGCTGTGTATATCCTCTGGGGCCTTAGAGAAAAAGGATACTGGCAAATGTTGATGCGTGTAAATGAAACTTGAAGATGTTTTTATAATAGTTAAACCTGTTTTGGTACACATTAGAAAGTGGTTGGAGAAATCTTGTTAAAACACATTTTTAATTCATGCTATCCATACCATTGTTTTTAAAGAAATTAGAAATGTGTTGATCTGATTAAAATCTGTGGTTAAAATCAGAATTTAACTAGTAGTACTTGAACTATTGTGGTTTGGAGCGTTAAGTTCTCACCACACAGAACAGACCATCATCACCAAGACAAGCCAAACCCATAGATATTTAAATGTGTTGATTTCTAACTGACTTTTCTTGTAGCGATGTGTACGATGCCCCCTTGTGATTTTTTTGTACAAGTTCTTTTTTTTCTTTTCCTTTCTGGGTCACACCCAGCGATGCACAGGGGTTATTCCTGACTCTTCACTCAGGAATTACTCCTGGCAGTGCTCTGGGGATGATATGGGATGCTGGGAATCGAACCCGGGTTGGCTGCTTGCAAGGCAAATGCCCTACCCTCTGTACTATCGCTCCAGCCCGTGTACAGGTACTTTAAAGGGGAAAATCCCCCTAGCTAGTGGAACTTAAGCTGCAAACTTGAAGAAGCTTAAAGATGCAAAGTAGCTTAGGTAGTGTTTATGTAGTTTACATATAGGACTTAATAGAAGACTAGTTCAATTTTCACTTGACAGACGTCTCAGCAGCCTTGGATTTAAGTGAATGTAGTGTGGTATATATAGAATCCATGCTCACATGTATGTGAAAAAGCTCTTTGAATAAGTTCTTTTTGGAGGGGGCAGCACACCTGGCAGTGCTCAGGGGTTACTCCTGGCTCTGCACTTGGGGATCATTTCTGGCTCCGCAGGGAACCATATGTGGTGCCGGGGATTGAACCCAGGTAGGCTGTGTGCAGAGTGAGTGCTCTACCTGCTGTATATTGTTTAAGCTCCAGTTTTAAATAATCTTATGAAAATGTATTTACTTCCTTAATATTCTCTTTTGGAGGGTGGGTACGATCTCTCGAGCAGTGCTCAGGGAGGCCATTTGGATGACACTTGGGCTGACTGAGTCACCAAAATGGATCTGTACACAGCCCTCAAGTGCGGTGCTCTTTAGGCCCTGAGGTACTGAGGATGGAACTTAGGGCTTTACACATGGCTGGTCCCTGGAATCACATTTGCAATTTGGTTTTTTGTTTTGTTTTGTTTTGATTTTGGGGCCACACCTGGCAGTGCTCAGGAATTACTCCTAGTGATGCTTGGCAGACCATATGTGGTGCCAGAGACTGAACCTGGCTCAGGTGCATACAAGGCAAGCTCTACCCATTGTACTTATCACTCCAGCCCCTCATTCTCAATTTTTAAAAAAATTTTATTTGAACTCCTGAAAAATG